TTCTAATGTCTAATTCTAACACATGATGGACTCTAGCTTTTGCTGTGAAGTCATCTGAGATCTTACCATTGTTCCCCGAAAGGAATATATTTTTCTTTTCTGGCTGCTTTATCTGCTTTTTAGCAGTTTGACTGAGATGTGCTGCAGTGATTCTCTTTGTGTTCATCATGCACAGGGTCCCATAGGCTTCGGGGACTTATTAATGGCTTCTGCCGCATTTTAAGTCATTTTGAGTCTAGATATGTTTTTCTCTTTTTATGTCTCATCTAGGGCTCTAATTACACATCTTTTGAAATGTTTGATAGATGTTTGATCACTTCATAGGTCTCTGAGGTTCTTTTTATTTCACTATTTTCTTTGCTAGTTTTTAAATTTTCTTAGCAGAAAATTTAAATTTAAATATCTTACAGAATTGTAAACAATTCTTACCTCTTTATTTACACCCTTTGGAGAATCAACTCTCCTCCAGCTTTCCTCTTCTCTTAAACATTTTTGTCCCTAGTAAATTTAAAATATTTTATTCTTCAATATTGTTGCCTATATTGTCAGAAATAATAAAATCAAACAAAAGAGAATAAAGCCAATCAAAACAAAGCACTGAATAAAACAAAACAATAAAAGAGCAAAACAAAAGTGAGAACAATATTGAATTTCAAAAAAAAGATAGAAGAAAATACCCCACAGTTGCTATATTTCAAATTGTTATCCTTTAAATAGATGCTCAGATTACCGGTTTTAAGCCTGCATAGTTAATCAAACACAAGCATTAAGCTGTTTTTGGGCCTCAGTTGCTATCAACTCAGTCTGTGTTCCTCTGAATCAGCCAGTTGCTTACAGGAGCGAGGTTGCTTGGCTCTTCTTGGCTTCAGTTGGCACACCGGCTTCCTCACGAGAAGGGCAAATTGGCTTCCTGTTTTTCCTCCCTCCCGGCCCATGGTTACCTTTTCTTTGAATTTTTAAGAGAATTATATTTTTAAAGATATTTTGGATCCCTTTGTATGATATATCCTACAAATAATTTTTGCTTTGCCATTTGTGTTTTGGTAATGCTTTTTTAAAACTTTTTTTATGTAGCAATTTTTTATTGCCACTGTGTTTTAAAGTGTTAATGGAGTCTCTCCTCACAGGTGTTATTTTTCAGTATATTTTTAGTCTGTCACAGGTTTATTTTGCCATATGAACTTCACTGCCAACTTTTCAAGTATCATAAAGTACTCATTGCTTTATTCAGAATTTATTACATCAACTGGTAAAATCAGAAGGAACTGTCATCCCACCAAGTCAAGCCATCCCACCCTAAAACAAGCATATGTTGAAGTCTACTTTTGTGTCTTTTAGGGGTGTCAAAATTTTAGTTTAGTTTTAATATTGTTACTTGGATTGAACTCAGGTCCCTCACACAGAGCTACATTTCCAGCCCTTTTTAATGATATTTTGAGACAGTGTTCCACCAGGTTGCCCAGGCTAGGCTCAAACTCACAGTCTTCCTGCCTCAGCCTTGCAGATTACTGATGTGTGGGTGTGTGCCACCATGCCTGGTTCAAGCATATTTCTTTTTAAATTTATTCGAGGTATGGTCTATCCTCATTACTCTGTTTCCATAGAAAATAAAGTATTTTACAGGAGAAATCTTCATTAAACAAGGTTACACATTGATCAGTTGATGAAAATACTGTGACCAGAGGTTGTAGGAATTTATCCGTGCCTTTTCCCTAGCGGCAGTGATTATTTGGTGTTAGAAGCAACTTGATAAAAGCTTAACTGCTGCAAATAATGAGAATCAATTGTATTTTTCTCTTTTGCTATTTAACTCAGGATTTATCTGTCACTAAATCTTTCAATGGTTATTACTTGCGAACACTGATTTCTACATTTAAATTCATGTCCTCCAACTTCATTTCTTCCCTTCCCCTTCGTACCATCTGCTTCCCTTCTCATTTGTAAAAGATTTCCCCATCTCCTATTATTTATGTATTATTGTGCTCTTTATTTATATTTTGAGTTTCTCAGGTAAGAGAACCATGTGATATTTAAGCTGTGTATCTGATTTATTTTATTTATAGTCTCAAGGTGCATCCATTTACCTACAGATGCTTCAAGTGAAGCCTTCTTTGTGGCAGAGTAGTGCTCCATTATGTAAACAGTGCTGTATTTTCTTTATTCTTCACCTGCTGCTAAGCATAGAGGTTATCTTCAAGATTTAGTTCTTATGATCATTGGATCTGGTGATTAGAAAAATTAAAATGACACTGCTTACTCCAGAAAGAATGGCTATCATCAAGAAATCAAATACAACAAGTGCTGGTGAGGAAAGATGCTGTGGGGGGGGGGGAAGGAGCCCTTCTCCATTGTTGGTGGAAGGTAAACTGCTGCAGCCACTGTGGAAATCAGTGTGGAGATTCCTCAAAAACCCAAGCTGGACATTCCATCTGACCCAGCTGTTCCCCTTCTACATATCTTCCTGAAGGGGTTAAAAACATCACACTACAGGGACCCACGCACACCTACGTTTACAGCATCTTGCATAGTTCTTACCTCTCATCCAGATGTTTCTGCCCCTGGCTTGTGATTTAGGCCAATTATGTATGGCGGCCAGAATATCTGGATACATAGCTGTTATTATGGTTTTGTTTCCAGATGGGATTCCTTTTATTCTTCCTCGTGTAAGAATAAGCCTGAATAAAAATTCAGGTTTATTCAGTGAAAAACCAAGCACACAAATCACGCGGGCAATCATCAAGGACTGCTCACGGGTGGAAGGAAATGCATGGATGTGTGGTTACCATTAGTCTGAGTAATTACTGTCAGATTTCAGCACTGAGAAGAGAATGTCTTTTATAGACACCATGAATTACCGTAGCTGGGACTGTTCAAAACCTATGCTATTCCTGAGTTAATTTCTCCTGAGTAAGGTTTGTATTTTCCTCTCTGCAGGCTGATCTTCACTTGGAAGCCAAGCACTGTGCATTTCACCTTGCTAGACAGTGGATATTTTTCATCTCTTAGAAGTATTCCCAAGGTTTCTTCTGGGGCACAGTTGTTTGGAGACCACTTGGCCCTTCCAGGTGCTGCCTTTAGCTTTGTTAGTGGGGACCAGAGGAGCAGTTCTCTAAGGCAGTTTGCTCTTGTATGGAGCAACCCCCTTCAGAGTGCACTATCTGATTCCCCAAGTAATGAGGGTTTCACTCTGGCTGGAGGGAATGAGAGCTGGAGGCATTCTTCCTCTAATCTGAGTGGCCTTTTCTCTTGGCCTTGAGTAATTTCTCCCTGCTGTGCTGCTTAGTACCAAGACCCGCGTAGGGCCCTACGCTGTCACCTCTAGGCTTCCCTTTATCGCTCTCACCTCTCCAGCCCTCCATCCTGCATCAGCCTCCTTAGAATCCCAGCCCTATCTCCTCAACCCACAGCTGTGGGGCTCCTCCCCACTTGCTGCAGTCTGGAACCTCTAGTGAGTAACCTGCCTCCCCTGCCTCTCCGAGTTTACTGACCTTTACTGCTCGATAGACAGAGTTTGGGAAACTTGTGCCCCGTGCATCCTGTCAGGTGTTTGGTTGCTAGAGCAAATCTAGTGTCAGTCATTCTATATTGGCCAGAAGTGGAGGGATACCACTGTAATGGTAGTTTCCCCCTTCTCATTGACCTGGGCATTGCCATCAAACATAGCATGTAAACCAGTGGTGCTGAACCTACGGCATGAGTGCGACTTCAGGCTGTCCCTGAAAGCTCCAAGTCATTCAACACATCATCATAAATTGTCACATAAGACCAATGCAATCATGTTGTATCTGTGTGCTTTGTACTTTTTTATTTCTTCACATCTCCCCCCACCAACCAGACAATAGTGATTGGTCTAATAAGAAAATGGAGATATAGAGATGGAATATATAGAAAAAGCACCTTGCAAAGGTCTGATAGCGTCTGGCTGGAGCTGGACACACTGTCACACTCAGCTGCTTGGTGGATGACTGAATGAACCCATGCAGGCTCACACGCATGCATGATGAATGACTGTCCCTGGTTTCTTGCCACTCCACTGCTCTCTACTGTGTGGAACAGACAGCCCACACCCTTCAGATTCTCCTAGTGATGCAGCTCTCCTTAGCAGAGGACTGTTCCACAGCCTTCCTCCTGCCTGGGAAGACAGCTCTGAGTTTTGGAGGACAGTATGTCTCTTCACGTACCATCCTTACCCTCCTTTGGTCAACTCCTTACTCCTGATTCCTTCCTTGCCACATTTATATTTTTACCTTAATACTGAGCTGACATTTCCTAGTTTTCATAGTTTTGGAAGTGGATTCCTCCTCAGCTTTCTTCAGCATAACCTTGGTGACCCCTAGCTTTCAGAAATGTGAATACTACACCTTTAATCAGGCTCTGAATTTTTAGACTATCAGAACTCTTGGTCTGTCTTTACTATTGGCCAAAAGCTTCCAATAGGTCTCTTATTAATAATCTGTACCCTGTTTTTATCTAACCCGGTAGATAAGGTGCTGGAATTCGGCAGAGCTATTTGTTTTTAAATCAGTGAACATTTTTACATGGCTGTAATGGTTTGTGTCTGGATGTCCGTCAAAGCCTCATGTGGTCATGGGAGGAGGCTTCTGGAATTTGTGACTGATTCAGTGCTGGAATTATGGTGTGGCCTCCATACAATATAAGGGACAGAAAGAGTCTTCTCTCCGTACTCCTCCCTTTTTTGCTGTTGCTGCTTTTGCTGTCTTCTGGCCACTATGAACTGTTGCCCCTCTGCCACGTTCCACTCTGCTTGGAGTCAATTGTGTACAGACTGAAACCTCCACAAACTGTGAACTAAATAATCTTTCTTTCTTTAATGGTGGGTCTCAGTAACTAGAAGAAAGTAACCAATACAATGGCATTGCTAAAATGTGTTCAAAGAAAACAGTAACAACGCAGGAGCCCAGTAGTTTTGAAATGTTTCCAATGTAAGAGTTTTTATTCTGCTTCTGTGCTCAATTCGAGGAACCTACAACAGACTACAGACATAAGGCAGGCTCAGTCAGAATGTCCAGAAACCCTGGCCAAGTCAAAATTTCAATCCCTAATTCAGATGGGATCATCAAGTTAAAAAAAGACCACAGGCTTGGATCCTAAGTGCCCTGACTTCCAAAGACTTTGACAGGAATATGCCAAGTTGGAATCTCTGAGCACACTGTGTGGACCAGAGGTCGAGATGTTTGGTCAGGACGAGGAGGAAAGGTCAGGGGAAAGCCAGGGGTAACACCCTCCAATGGGAAGGAGAACCAGGCATACTGGAGGGTAGGAGGCCCTTGGACCTTTGCTGCCCATGGGCAGGCAGAGGCAGGCTAAGAGGTGGCCTTACCTCAGTGGAGAGGCTCATCCCACAGTGTTGGCCGCTGAGATCTGATCAGTCCTGGAGGAATGCTGGCCCTTGTCAACTTAGTGCCACTAGACTGCTCTAAGGTTTCTCAGGGATGGCCCTCTACCCTGGGGGCCATGGATGGCTCCCCAAGGCCAGGGCAGGGCCACTGGAGGTGGAGGTGTGGAGATGGTGACCAGGCCGACTGAGTCTTAGACCCCCCGCCGAGGGCCTCTTCTAGGAAAGCAGATGTCAGTGTTACTCAGCAGGGCCTGATGCAGCCTGGCCTGGAAACCAGGGCAAGACTGCACCTGCTAACTTCTTGGAGAAACCTCAGAGCACCCTGGGGATGCACAGAGGCAAGCCCCCGCCCCCCTGCTTGGGTTTGAGGTGAGTGTGGGGGGGTGTTCTTGGGACCTGGTGCTGTGAGAAGCGCTGTCTGAATCTGAGCATGCCATCTCCTGCAGAGGTGGCCTGTGGGCGGCTTTCTTTTTCTTTCTTCTAGGATTTTCCTGTTTTGGTTCTTTGAGTTCCCCACTGTCAACTTGTTTCACTGACCAGAGAGGAAAAGTAGAGTTCTTCACCTCCATGCCCTCCCTAGAGAGAGAGAGAGAGAGAGAATCAGAGATGCCCTGATTTCGACAGCCCGCAGTGTCACCATGCTGTTCAAGCCAGCCCCATGAGGATGTTGGGGCTCTTTGTCCACAGTCCTCTTTCCCAGGGAGAGGAAGCTGGTGTCCCAAAGCTTTGAGCTGTGCTGAATTCCTGTTTACCTCCACCAGTGTCTCGGAGCCTCACACCAAACACAGCACCTAGCTGTTTGGACTCAGGTCTGGCCAGATCAGTGAAGGAATTACCCAAGAAGATCAGGCGGCACCATAACAGTCCTGGTCACCCCTCAAATGGAGCTTTTCTGACAGAGACCTTCTCCTGCAGCCAGGCTCCTCCAATGACTGGATCCAAGGTGTATTAAGCACCTTCTATTTCATTGACAAAACTTAGGCATGATTATGAGGTCATAGAGCCAGATTTATTATCTGGGAAGTGTACCAGACGAAGCTTATTACTTATCCAAAACGGTTGTCCTCCAAGGAAGGCATCTCGGGAACGCAGTGACCTGTTCCCACAGTGTTGCCATGGCTCGCTGTTTCTGGAACTCACCTTTTCAGAGCCTTTTGGGTCACATGATGGTAAGCCTTATTTTGCCCTTGTATCAGCACGGGCCACCTTGGTCATTGCCCTGACTTTGCTCTGAATGGTTCTTAGTTTTATTTCTACTCTCACTTTATATCCTGGATGCTTCTAAACGATGCCACGTAAAAGATAATAAACTGGGAAAAGATTTTTAAAATTTATTTCTGTAAATTTCATCCTCCTCATCCCCCATTAGCAGGTGAAGATTCACCACACCTCACTGTTTTCACAGTCGGGCCCAACAGACCCAAGGAAAGATTTAGATTTCCAAGGCAGCTTGGTCAGTCGCAGGAGACAGGCTTGCTGGGAGCTGAGAGATAAACCACCTTTAGCTATGAGGCTGCCGATGGGTGGATGTGGACCCTCTTCGCTACCAGGTGCCTCAAGACATGTGGAAGTCACACTTCAAGGTCATGTCTGGTTCACCTGCCCTGTGGCTGCCGTGACGGTACCGACCTCGCTGCCCTTGTCTAAGCTGGTAACATCCCGGCTCCTTTTCCAAGGTGTCCATATTCGCCGTGGGTTAGGGCTGACCGCAGTCTAGTCTGTGTCCTGTGACCTCTTAGAAGGAAAAGCAATCCGGAGGGGAAGTGGGCAGCAGTGTCTTCCAGCTGTACTAAAATCACGCTGAGACTAAGGAGGCGGAGGAGCTGCCCGTCCACCTGGAGGGACCCAGGAAAGGGGGCTCAGTGGGAGATGGGTGGCACAGCCACAGGCTTCCTGGATGATGGAATTAAATTTAGGCAGGCAAAATCAAGCAAGAGAGCCAGTGTGGTGGCTCTGGCCCGTAATCAGCACTCAGGAGGCAGAGGCAGCAGGGTATCACAAGTTTGAGGCCAGAGAGGTTTACAGAGTGAGTTCAAAGCCAGCCTGAACTATAGAGATTCTGTCTCAAACGAAACAAAGCAACAATAATAAAAAGAAATGAGGGTTTAATGCTCATTATTGGGGGGGATCACAAAACAGAAAGCATGCATTTTCATGTTTGTTTCTGAAAGCTGTGAATATGTAACAACCACCAGAAACCTTGGCATTAAGTAGCCTTTATCAAAAATGTTGGGGCTAAAAGTGTTTAGATTAGATGCTTATCCATAATGACACACCTTGGGTGTGGGACCTGCAGCTACACATGGGGTTCATCTGTGTTATAATCTGTCCCTAATTCACATAGCCTGGAGTGAATGACAGTACACAATATTTTTAGTGTAACTATATTTTTACAGCAAATGTGTCTTTTAAAAAATATTTTAAAGACTTTATTTTTATAACCTTTAAAAAGACCAAAACTTTTTGTTCGAGGAACCGAAACTTTGTTCCAGGGAAACACAAGATGCATGCAAATATAAAATATAAAACAAAGCACCCGTAAATTTTACAGTCTAAGATGCTAAGGTAGAATGTTTCTGCTGAAGATCCCCATCAAGGTGATAAACGGCACTTGGGAAGTGGCAGACCAACGCGCTGGTCCTTTCCCCAAGGACATTGTGTTTTTGTGATGAAATCTTGTAAAAATCCACTGTTAAAAATAGCAGAAACATAAGCATGTGTGGTGGTGCATGCCTGAAATCCCAGCTACTTGGGAGGCTGGGGCAGGAGTTGTTACAAGTTTGAGCTCAGACTGGGCAAATTAGTGAGACCTCATCTTAAAGTAAAAAGGGGCCGGGCTGTCGCTCAGTGGTAGAGCACTTGTCTATCATGTATAAAGCCCAGCGCTGTAAACAAGAACACCAGAAACACAGAGATGGTTTAGCGTATTTTAACACACATAATGATTACACTGCAGTTAATGTACTTTTCTTCAGTGTCTTTGCCAAGGTAAAATCCAGGAGGAAGGGCTCTTCCTCCTGACTCCATGAAGTTCACTGAGATTTAGGTACGATGAGTGGACACAATGGGTCATTCTTTCCAGTTCTTGGGCAGAGTGACGTCCACTGGGTCCCTTCTAAATAAGCCACCCTCACACCTGTGTTTCAGGAGTGTAGTGGTTCCCTCCCTCCTTCTTGATTTTCTTTTCTTTCTTTCTTTTTCTTCCTTCCTTTTCTTTTTTTCTCAAACAGGATCTTGCTATTTTGTTACTCTGGCCTCCAATTCCTGATCTATAGAGATCCTCCTGTTCCATCCTCCTGTGTTGGGCGCAGGCGCTCAACATACCATACCCCAGCCGGGACTAAGGACCACGCCAGCTTCCGCAATGTGCTACGTCCCTCCTTAAATTAGCCAACCCGTGCGCACCCCGCGCTCACTCCGTACTCTGTGGCAACTCCTGATTGGCCACAGCTGGATATAATAGCCAGAGCCTACATCCCATTCCCGCCCTGCTTCCTTGTGGCAGCCTGTGATTGGTCACGGCCAAATATATAAACCAGAGCCCGCATAAATAAACTAGCAGTTAACTGTCGTCCACAAAAGCGTCTCCTGTCTCCTGTTTCATTGGAGAGCTGTGCCGGTCACTCCTGAGTTCCAGGGTTGTAGGCTTGCATCACCGTGCTAGGTGGGCCAGCATTTAACTGTAACCCATGGCATGACGTCATGCTATTGTCTGCTGTTGGTGCTCAGAAAATTTCAGATTTTAGGCCACATCACATTTTGAACTTTTGGAGTGGGACACTTGCCCTGTGATACAACAAACAGGGGTGCATGCTGGGGTACGGGCAGGTATCATGGCTCTGTGCTTTCACATGGCCCCCTTGTGAGAAGGCTGTGTGTGCATCCATTCCATCTCCTGGGGTCACAGCCACCCCCCTTCATTTGCTCTTCTACTCTGCAAAGATCCTTGTGTGCAAGGCTGTCTTGGGGGGGTTCTGGGGCTGGCATTGAGATGTCAGAGGATGACTGGGCAGGTTTGAGGTCTAACAAGTCAAGCAGCAGATCCTAAGAGAAGGATTACACTGGTCCTGAGGGTTTGCCCATTACTATGACCCCTGGTGTCCCCTGCGCCAGTGCCAGGACCTACACAGACAGTTGTCCTCGAGGATGACACAGGACAGCACACTTGCATGCAGGGCTTTTCGTAGAGTGGCTTATTCTGCTGGGCCGGCCTCCACGATGTAAAACTGGCTCCTAATATGCCTGGGAGGTACTGAGGGGGTGAATCACACACAGAGGCTTAGCAATTTCAAGGGAAGCATCATCAGTAGTGGCCAGGAGGCTGAGCCCCTGACCAACTGAAGGTAACATCAGAGGCACTGCTGGGAGGACAGCGGGAGGCCACACCATCAGAGCAAAGAGGGGGCTGAACAGTGGGGAATGACCACTTCCAGGGGACACGCTGGGAACCAGGGGCTTCATAGACAGAGACATAAAGACTTGGGGAGCTGGATCCAGCCAGAGCACATCTTCCTGTAGCCTCCTCCACGACCATGTCTCTGGTCCACGTGGTGACCACAAAGAGCAAGAACAGATCGTACCCAGCTCAGCATCTCAGGACCTGACAGTTTCCTCCACACGCCCCTAGGTTTTTCAGGACACAAAGCCAGGAACTAACCCCACCTGGCTCTCCTGAGGTCATGTTTGCAATGGAGTTAATATTTTAAAAAGAAATCTCGGTCCATCCAAGGGGAGTCTTCCTCAGGTGGTGTCTTGGAGGCTACTTCACTGAAGCCTTGAAGGGCAGGTGGATTCCAGTTCCCTGGACCTACCTATCCTTTACAAGGTGGCACGTATGGGTTCTCAGGGACTTGGGTTCCTTGACAGAGATTGATGCTGGTCTCGTAGACTGAATGAGGAGTGCTTGGGAGAAGGAGTAAACAACAGCATGATGGCCCCTTCCTGTCCTTGCGTTCCTGTCTCCTCAGATGATCTCTTTCTAGATCCCCTCTGCCACATCATCATATAACCAAGCAAGCCCTCGTGAAAGGTTGACCGCATGGGGCAGCCCTGATCTTGGACTTATAGTCTTCAAAGCTGTGAGCTAAATAAACCCTTTTCCTTGTAAACACTCCATCCCAGACATTCTGAAATAGCAAGGGAGAATGAACTAAGTCACAGTCTAGCACAAGGGAATTTCCCCAATGCAAACCTCCAGAGGACTCAGTGTGGTCACTAATGTGGTCACTACATGAGAGGGCTAAGCAAGCACTGCGTATGGACGTGGTTGGGGGACTTGAGTTCAACCCTGGAGTTCCCCAGGTGGCCAAGAGCAGATGCCATTCCAGGGAAGGAATATTTCAGTTTATGCAAAGGCACGAAGACCTGCAAAGAACACGGTGTAGGGAAACACGTGCAAATAGTTTAGTGTGGTTCGTGTGGTCTGAAGAGTTGATTGGGCTGGAGACTCTGACTTTGCAGGTGAGGAGAATTACTTGTTCAGTCCTCCTGGGGAATGCCCAGGTGACGACAGCACAAGGCTGGAGGAAATCACAGCTCCTGACCTAGAGCAGAGCTGAGAAGGACCTGCAAGTTGAGATCACTACAGCTTAGAACAGATAGAGGCATGATGAGTGAAGGACAAGAAAAAGCCAGAGACAACTAGAAGTTGACTGTTGGGTAGAAAGATAAATCAAGGCAAGAGAAGTTGAAATGGGAGCGGGTATGTAGGAAAGGTTAGCTTTGGTTTAGATGTGCTGAGTCGAGATTCTGTGCACTCAGGGAGAAACATCCGCTGAGTGATCGGAGATAATGCAATTCCCACCATGTGCTGGTGCCCAGTGGACATTCCCAATCCTACTCTAGGACAGGGAGACACTGAGATGATAAATCTTCTCCTCAAAGGCACAAAACCAAGTGACAGTGGGGCTAATTGTGAATTAAATCTTAGTTTCCAGTGTCCTTTTCTTTGTAGGTGTCCACCATTGCTACCTGAAGAAATAACAGCCATTAAAACCATCTGGGAAGCTTCCAGAAAGACTCAGCAGTGGTCCCACTCTCGGGGCCTGTACTCCTCAGGCAAGAGGCCATGAGAACTGTTTGGGTTGGAGAAGGAGATAAGGGTTTCTTGGTGTAAACAGTCATGGAAGCAATGGGATGGGTGGAATTGGGCAGGGAAACCCGAGACAGCCATGACACACCTCAAGCGGAGCAAGGGAGAGGAGGAAGGGAGCCAAGAGTCAGCACAGTCAGGATGGGCAGAGCTCGTTGGCCTGGTGTAGGAGAGGCACCAAGAAAGTTCTGTGGGAATCCTTCTTGCAGAGGGGCAAGGGTGGAAGCTGATGCCTGAGGCTCAGTGAGTGAATGGGAGACGAGAGAATGCACCCAGGTGTACAGGAACAGGTAGAGAAGAGGAAAAAGGGACCAGGGAGGTTTCTGTGTGTGTGTGTGTGTGTGTGTGTGTGTGTGCGCGTGCGCGTGTGCGTGTGTGTAAATGGTGAGGGGAGGAACCTCAGCTGTTTCTCGGGTGAAGGTCTCAGTGGAGAGTCTCGGGTAAAGGTCTCAGTGGAGAGGAACTATGGAGAAGTAACAGAAAAATCTAGAGCTAATGGAGGGAACGAGGAGCTGGGGCAGTGGGATGGGCTTCCAGACCCTACTGGTCTGCTCAGCCTTGGACAAGAAGAGAGGCGCTAATGCTTTGACATCATGGAGAAAGATGAAGCATCCCACAAGCCCAAGGGTGAGGATGAGAAATGGAGAGATCAGACGCCTGCAGGTCTCTCTGGAAGGAAGCCTGGAGGCTGGCGCCCAAAGAAGCCCATAAACTCTACGTGAAACCAGAAGGCGAAGGCGTTTCCTGGATCCTTTTCCACAGCCCTCACTGAAACCCTGCATTTATGTCTTACTATGCTTCTGACTCCAAGATTAAGGCTCTGTGACTCCAGCCTTGATAGCCATGATGGCCAATGGGTTTGGGTTTGGCCTGCTCTCAGGCCTTAAGTTTTTTCTGTTTACTTTGCATGGGTCCACCTTTTTTCCCCACACCATGGCCCCTGGAAACCACTGCTCACCCCCACCCCCATGCTCGGTGGGGCCAGCACCTCACTTCCGGCTTCCAACATGGGAGGGGTGGGTGGGTAAAAGCTCCCCGCTGCAACTTCAGCAGGAAACCTGGAACCCTTAGACACCAAGGGGAGCAATCGCTTCATATTCATGGCAGTGCTGAACATGCTTTTCAGGCAAATAACACTGAATTTGAGATTAGGACCAGACGGAGGGACACACAGCAGGCACGAGGTGTCACTTCAGAGGAAAGTAATCCCACAAGGGTATTTTCAGGAGGAAGTCGGCTACCTTGGTTTTTCTCTCCTAATATTTAGAGATCTTGGATCTCAACTCTGGAATAGGCTAGAGGTTCATAGAGATATCCACATCTCAGCCGTAGAAGTGGGGTGCACTTACCCTTTGGGATCCTCCTTCACTGGGAGTGGCTTTATATGAGAGCAGGAGAGAACATATTTGTTTTGGCTGATCTTTATAAGTGCACTTCGAGGGCAAAATTCCTGTAATAAAACCAAAAGAGTTCACTCAATTTAAATATTAAAAAGTCTACATTTCAGAAATCATTTTCCTGAAGCTCAAATCATTATAATAAGCACCAGTCACTGTCCTGTTCAGGGTGACACTGGAAGAGCAGGTGAGATTCAGAGTCTCGCTGGGTGATTATTTGCTTAATGAAAGTCATTCATAAGAAAGGAGCCTTACCTGTCATTTCTTCAAATGCTAGGTCCATGGCTAAGGCTCCCCACATAAGATGCACACGAACACACCCACACCACATACACACACCTTCCTGTAAGTACCTCCTTCCTCTTTCTATTCAGCCTTCGACATCTCTTCCCTGACCCTGTCATCATTACTTTTTGCCAAATGCCCTGCACGTCTCCAGAATCCCCATGAGACCCATTTGTCCAGTGTCCCTCCCCTGCCCAGACCACTCTGGCCGTTAGACACTCCTATGGGTCAACTCCTAGGTCTCTCCTTGGGCTCTGGGGCTTTTCCACTCCCTGCACCCTGGGTGCACCTGGGGACAGCTCTTCAGATATCCCTGGTTGTAGGTATTGCCAGAGCAGCGCCGCACACCGGGGATACTTCCTCCTGCTCTGTCCTTTCTCCTGCTGCATGTCCTGAGATGATGGAAGATAATTTCCCCATGTGAACATGGGACCCTAACAGTCCTCCCTCACAGTGTGCTGAGGAGTCAACTGCCGTGAAGTACTTGGATTCGTACCTGTGGCACATGGGAAGAGCCTCATAAATCAGCCACTGTGCTCTGTGCTGGCTCACCTAGCTATTTTGCTTGCCCATCAGCATGTTAGGTGGTCATCAAGCCAGAGTCATTTTTCACTAGACACGTCATTCATTCGAGAAACCTACCACTAACACCACACTGTGACAGTCTCTCCATCCGGGGCTCAGGGGAGCATGGAACAGAAGTCCCTGTCTCTAAGGGTTGGGAGACTGGAGAGGAAGCCAGTGTGAGGGGAGGGACCCACAGCGAGAACTCTGAGGTAAGTCACAAATGGGTAAATCCTATAGAAAGGAGCTGAGGAGAAGAGTCCAGGAGCTGCTGTGGCTCCCAGTGTGGAGTGAGACCATGCTGGTGCCATGCTGTGACACTCCTTGAGCATGATAGAAGGGTGTGTAAGAATGTCAGGAAGACAAAGGACACAATCAGAGTTGCAAACTGATAGAGAATGTTTCTAAAGCAGAAGAATATACAGGGAAAATATACAATGAAAACAAGATTTCTTAAACACAGAGAAGGCAGCTCATAAAGGGGTGGCTGCATATAACCATATTAAATTTAGTTTCTCTGTCAGCAAAGACCCCAAATTAAAAGACAAATAAAAGACTGGGAAAAGAATATTGGCTGCATATATCACAGAGAATCACTATGCAGAAGACACAGGGAACCTCTCTAAATCAATGAAAAGACAAACAGCTCAATAGAAAACACAGACACTGAACAAATGCCTGTCTAGCGAGCGAATCAACCGGCCATGGTAAACTTAGCCAAATCATCCTCACTCACTGGCTGTGAGGGGTCAGAAGGGAGAAGCCCAAGAGTGGTGCTACCAACTGTTGCACTGACATCATCACTGCTACCACCGCCACCTGTACCGGTGTCAGCCAGGCAGATCTTTAACCCATATTTTCTTTAAGCCTCACAACCACACTAGAAGATAGAGATGAAGAAACCTGCTCAGGTCAGACAACTAATAAAGAACAGGGAGAGTACTCGGTGGATCCAAATGTAGGTCTTTTGAACTGCACAGCTGGGCCTTTTCCAGCTGGCTCCATTCTCTTGTCTCTCATTTTCTCCAACACCTGCCACCCCTGAAGGTGTTTCCTAAGCAAGAGTGCAATAGGGAACCAGGTGGTAGCATCCCTGATGCAGGGATTAGAGGGTGAGAAAGGCTCCTGGGGGGAAGGCGCACCCTGCCTCTGCCCCTTGACTTCTGAGATGCCCATGGGTCATCAGGAGGGAACTGCCTTGGTGGATCCAGCTAGAAACGCAGGGTTGGAGCTCAGCTCTATCCTGCCTGGCACAGAGGAGGTGTCTGAGGGTGAGGTCATCCCAGGAGACAGACTGCAGAGTGGCAGAGAGGGCCAGGGCCTGAAGGAACCCTGGAGATGCCCACATCTGCAGGGCCTGCAAAGGAGACTGGAGCAGGAGCAAGAGGACAGGAGTGAGAGAGAGTGGTGCCCACAGGACCCGGAGCAAGCCTGCCTGGCTGTCCACTGCAAAGCACAGTTTGGTCACAAGCACAAAAGCCTGTCCGACACAGGACAGAGGGAGCCACGGAGGTATTTTGGGGGACAAAGCCTGCAGGGTTGAATCAAACCCCAGGCAGTGGCTGGACAGGGAAGAAGTAGACACAGCTAGGGAAATCATTCTCGAAACATCTAGGTAATGCCAGAAAGGAGTGAGGCACTGGCTGGGGACAGCCACCTTCTGCTTAGAGGGGTCCCTTCTAGATGAAGTCTACTTACTCTCCGGTTGTTACACTTCAGGACCGTGTACAATTTCTCGGAGCCCACATTTGGATTTGGAAGTGCTATGACAATGGCAGGAACATAGAAGTCAAAGCCTTCGGGAATCACAATTTTGGCAAACACGTAGTCTCCAACCTGTGGAGGGAAAACATCTGACAGCACACTTTTCCCTCCTCAACTCAAGGCCTGCATTTCTTAAAGCTTGTTTCAAATCAACCCCAGGCAAGTGCTGATGCTAAAATTTGAATATTTTTTTCTCAGTTAAGAAAGCGTTCTAGAATTCCCTGGACTTCACCTGGAATTTTGTGATCAGTTTGGAGAAGCCCCATCTTGGGAGGACTTGCACAGCTGACCAGGTCCTGGGGACAGCTGGGAGATGGTGAGGGTCTGGAAACCAATCTTACAAAGTCTAGGTGAAGGGACTGATCTGGGGAGTGGAGTTTGACATAAAGAGAGGTGCCAAAAGGGCCATCACTCGGACAAAGGAGAGGTCTGGTCAATGTTGCTGCAAAGTGGTACATAGGTCAAAGGTGCGGAGAGGGAACCTGCAGCAGGAAGAGATGCTTGCAAAGGGGCCAGGTAAAGAGTGCAGGCATTTGCCAGCTGTCCTGGAAAGGTGCACCCAGGTGCACTGTGGGTCTGACCAGGAAAGAAGGAACAGACCACTAGGGCTATATGGGGGGGAGGGATTTCTCCTCAGCGCCTCCTTTCTGGAGGCCATCTCTCTGCCCCCAGAGACACTGCAGCATTACAGACCTCATGAGCTATGGCTCTGCGGTGACTACTACACTTGGCTTAATGTGCACTGCAGCCTCACGGGCTGGGCAGCTCGAAACTGACCACATCAAGGAGAGTGCTCCCCTGTCCTGTCTTTAATGTCATTTGTTGCATTGAAAGCTCTGAGAGCACCAGCAGCCGCAGCAGCTGCCTCCTCCCACTGTCTCCTGTCTTGCAGAGTGACAAATGTCACAAGGTGCCATGTCAGCTGATCTGCAGTTGTGAGCGGCAGATCACAGACATGCCACACAACACTGGGTCCCAGAAGCAGTGGCCGCTGTCCAAACACAAGCTCCCAGCAGCAGTTTAGCACAAGGGCCTCCCAGTGGCCCTGCCAGTCTGTTATTCCAAACCCGTGGATGGCGCAAAGGAGCTGGTGACGGGTTGTGGAGCAGGTACCTGCAGCAGCGGGCAGGGCATGGCGCCCCCAACAGGCGTGATGAAGGAGGTGGGCACAGCCTTGGTGTCCCCGTACCTGAAGTTCACCAGGGCATGGTTGTTGCTCAAACACTTCTTTACAACCCCTGGAAGGAATCAGAGACAACACACAATGCAGGCGATGACACCCATTTCCTCAGGTTTGTGCCATCTGTGGTCTTCGGGGAGTGCAGCACCACCCACTGAAGTTGGTGCCCCTTTGAGGTCCCTAGAAATGATGTTGGGGGCTGACTGATGCTTCTCAGGCCTGTACTGTGCAAAGGGATAAAGCACCCTGCCCTGGTTGGAACCCCCCGAGACGCTAGGAAAATGAGGGGGGGCTTGTTCATCCGGGGCCCCCAGCATCCATCCAGTGGGATCACTGAGCCGAGACACTGAGCCCCTCTTCCTGGAGACCCCTAACCACTGGATTTCCTCATTTAGCCCATTTCCTTCGACAGAGACAGAAAATGGGCATCATTAATTGTGAAAGTAGAAAGGAGATTGAATTCCCATGCTCTCAGATACGTTGAAAAGGAACTCAGTTAAACACACACTCGGTTTCCCTAAACTGTACAACCAAAAATGAAAAGGGAAAGAAGCAGCGAGAAGTCTGTCTTTTGTAAATAGTCAGTGTGTGTGCATGTGTGTGTGCATTGTGTGTGTGGGGACCAAACTCAGGGCCTTCACACCTAGCTGCGTTTCCAGCCCTTTGTTTTTAATTTTTTAACTTTGTGACAGTTGGGCTAAGTTGCCCAGACTGGGTTCCAATGTGCAGTCCACCTGCTTCTGACTGCCCAGCCTCATCATAGGCCTGGATTTTTTTTGAACATATACAAGCCAGCTTTCCATGATATGTTTTCTTATTGGACTAACATATCTAGCAGTTTTAAAAATCTTCTTGCAGTTTACATTATCACATATATTCTACCATATATGGATTTTCTTTACCCTTTTAGTAAAACAAACCTCACTGCTTTTTAGCAAGCTTCTATTGTGCAAATAATTACAGAGATGGATGTGGTGGCTCATGCCTGTAATCCAAGCACTCAGGAGGCTGAGGCAGGAGGACTGCTGCAAGTTTGAGGCTAGCCTAGGCTATAAACTGCTCTCGCCTGAGAATGAAGCGGATCCTCATATTCCAGACACTGCCTCCCTTGCTCAGAGCTAAGGATCTGGGCCACTGAGACCTCGCAGCCCGTGTGATCTTCCTGAAATCTTAGTCTCTTGGACTTGGCCGGATGCGCCATTAAGCCTGTGCTGCAGTTTCTCAGTTGCTGAGAAGATCTGACAGAACTGGAACCACAAAGCCTAAGCCACTTTCTTTCTTTTACACAAAAGTCTGCTCATTTCTGCTTTGGACCAGCGACCTGAACTTTCTGTTTTTCACAATGACTTCTTTTTAGCAATTTGTGTTCTGTTCTCTCTTCCCTGTGCCCTCCTCCTATGTGGGCGTGATTTCCTAGGCCATGTCTATGCGGGTATGATCCCCAGAGCCGGCCGCCCTGGGGTCCCCGCTGGCTGTGCTCTGGGGGTTGAAGGACTCAGAGTGGCCAGGACTCCACCAGTCCTCACGCCCTGCGCTCCGAGCTCAGCTTTGCTCTTGGGGCCTCTCACCCTGTACTTTCTGCACTCGGTGCTAGAGGGGTGAGATGGTTTTCCTGGCTCTGAAATCCTTCTGGGGACTCTTTCTGGGCCCAGGCTCTGGACAGTGAGCTACTGAAGACCTTGACCCAAACCTAGGGAGGCTCAGGCTGGACACTGGAATTTTGGAAACCTCTCCGACAACTTTCGAGCAGTCACAGCCCAGCTTAAATTTCATCTCCTCAAAACCCTCTCCCAGCCTCCCGCCTCAGCCATCCAGGCAGCCCATGTGCTATTCTGCATGGCCTTTGGGATACAGCTGTCCTGGTTTTGCCTGTTTTGTGGATTTTTGCCTCTGACGTTCAGGAGAGGCTTCGAAGCAGCTGTGAATGTGACAGCAGCTCCCCGCCCCCAGGAGACCCACGTTGTTGGTGATCTCTCTGGAGCTCTCAGTGGGTTGACAGAAAGCTCTTCACAGGGAATGAACAGGGACTCGCAGCGTCGCATTTGATCTGCACGACACTCTTAGGTTGGCTTTTGTGGCAGACTAATGGTCGACTTTACTGAGCTGAACTGAGTCGGCGTGGGGCTGGGTGTGGAAAGCCCACCTGAGGATTGCTGCCAACAGCATAAAACGGATGTTATGGGGGAGAAGATGGGGTGCTATTGATTCTCCTGCCTAAGCTTGTCGAGCTGACTTTCCTGATACGGATGGACTCAGCTGTTCTGATCATCAAAGGAGCTCAGGTCCTTGCTGTCACTGAGGATGTCTGAGGTTCTCTTTGGGGGAGCCCTGTTCCCTGTCTCTGCTGCAGGACACTCAACCCACTGGCACAGCTACTTCACCCCGCTGGTGCAGACTTTGTGGCTTCCACCACTGACTTCTGGGACTTCCCAGTGCAGATCCTTGATACAGACTTGCATGAGACATTGTGGTGGGCTCAAGGCCTCCAGCTGGACTCGTGGAGGACACTGATGGGCTCTAGGTCTTCAGCTGAACTTGTGCAGGAACAGGACACTGCCGTGGACCCAGGCCCTCAGCTGGATTCTTTGGGTCTCTAGTGTGTGGGCAGATTTCCTGCATTCTTCTGTATTTGATTTTTTAGATGAATATTATAAAAGAACCCTATAAATCGTACATCCTGTATTAAATCTATTCCCTTGCAAACCATGACTACAACAGCTTTCAATGTTGTAAATATCATTTAGAAAGAGAGGGAAACTAAGGCACAGAAAAACTGAGCAACGCCAGTCCAGAAGCTAGTAAAGGACAGAATTCAAGTAAATGAAAGCCTAGGGGTTGGGTTGGGGATTTAGCTCAGCGGCGTAAGTGCCTGCCTTGCAAGCAGGCAGTCGTGACTTTGATCCCTGGTACAATTGAAAAAAAAAAGAAAGCAAGCTTAGGGGTTGCTGACCCTCTATGCTGCACTCGAGAAGCAAGTGAGTATCACCCCCCACACACACTTCATTCCTCCGGCAGAAGCAGAAATCACCATGAATTTCCTCATCTAAAATGCTTCTTGTCACTTAGCAACAGAAGGATGACCCTCTTCATACAAAGGATGACCTAATGAGGTTCTGAAGGTGCCTTCCGCCTGCCTGCCACCTCCCAGACAAGCCAGGCTGTCACTTGTCACTTGTCCATTCTGACTGAGGCAGTTGTTTCCTCATCTGGATTAGCTGCACTGACCCTGCAGCAGTCTTGGCCACCTGAAAACCCCTGAAAGCCATGATCCAACCAGGCAGCTCTGCTACAGCAGGACCTGGACCCAAGCAGCGGACACCCAGGTCTAGGAATGCTTAGGGTTCTGAACAACAGTTACAGAAAGGAGTCACCAATGAAGGTCATGCCTGTACCCAGTGTAATTCACCTTGGAGTCTTTTTTATAAGAGGGGAAAGAGCAACTCCAGAGTGACCAGGTCATTAATGGGGGCAAATGGATGTCATTGTCCCTCTAATGGAATGTCACCTATGTGGTATTACTCAGGCAGGATTAGGACCAAGAATGCAAAACCCAGTCTAATTTAACCAAAACCTAGGAGTAGCCTGTAACATAATGGCCTCATATTTATCTTTGTTATTTCTGCATCTTTTGGATTCCAGTTGGAGTTTATTTTACATCTCTGGGCGTTTTATATATCACCTCCAGCTCCTCACACGTATTTTCCCCACTACCCACAATGTCCCTTCCATGCCTCCACTCCCCATACAACAGCACTTCCCACCCTCCAGAATCACATCCCCCAGGAAGTCTTGGTGAAGCCCTCTGGTTTTGTGGTCCTGGCTTCCTGCACTTACTGTAACACAGCATGTGCACTCCAGCCTCAGACCTTCCCACTTAGAGCTCTGTTCACTGGTGCATCCCTCTTCTGTAAGGCCTTATTCACACATTGCCTTCCTCAGGAACTCTTCTCTAACCACCATATTTAAGTCACAACCAAATATACTCTCAGCCACCTTTGTGGTTTGACTGTCCTCTTTCTTTCTTTTTTTTTTTTTTTTTTTTTTGTCTTTTTCGTTTTTATGGTACCGGGGATCGAACTCACGACTGCCTGCTTGCAAGGCAGGTGCTTATGCCGCTGAGCTAAATCCCCAGCCCCTGACTGTCCTCTTTCTGTATTTGACTCCAAACATTCTGTATTTTTATTATCTACCTGGTGGCTCAGCTGTCTCCCCTAGTAAGATGTAACATCCACGAAGACAAGAACTCATGTGTTCTCTCCCTTGTCAGACTAGCACTTTCAGGAGATTATAGAATAGAACATATTAGGTGTATAATAAAAATTTGTTTACTAAGCATATAAAAGATAAATGCATTTCTTTCTTTCTTTTTTGGCCTCAATATGAGGAGAAAGCCCATCAATGTTTCATTTGAGAAGCAGTATCCTTAGTACAGCTCACGAAATGTCAGTGTTGTAGGGAAAGCACAGGTTGAAACCTCTTGATCCCCAGTACTAAATTATATAACAAAGAAGTCCCAGCAAGGGAGGGCAGAACCGTACCTGGAAAATAAAAGCCGTTTTCATCACATCTTGCAATAACCTTCTGGCCCTTGAGGTGATCTACTTTCTTTGATTTGAGTTTCTTTTTTGGACTTCCTTGAGATTTCTGCAGCTGAAAAAGACAAACAGTAATAATGGATGAGGAAAAAGTCAATGTGGATGGTGAAAAATCATAAGCAATGGGTAACTGGGATTCTCTCCTAAGTAAAGAATCACAGAACCTATACATACTATGACACTTTGGTATATTCTGTCTTCTAGGTTAATTAAAATGTATTCTTCCAGTAGGGGTAATTTTTATTCTCTATGATTTTTCTACTTATCTCAAGGTAAAAAGAGAACTAGATAAATAACTAAAGAAAAGGGAAAATAAAGAAAGTTATATATACAAATAGAATCCTTGAAAATCTGCAACAGCCTCAGTGCTGGAGAGTGAACACTAGTTTAGAACCATAGCATACGCTGCTGCCTTTTAGAATTGCGAGAGGTAAATGGGTCCTGCAACAGAGGGGTTGGAAATTTGTTAACAACAGAGAAATGTCGAGAGAGAGAGAGAGAGAAAGAGAGAGAGAGAGAGAGAGAGAGAGAGAGAGAGAGAGAGAGAGAGAGGAAACGCATAAAATGTAAGAGGCAGTAATATTTATCCCAAGAGGGGAGAGAAGGGAAATCTCAAGAAGACAGCAGTGTGCAGGTCACAGGCCACAGGGTGTCTCCTAGGAAAGAAAAGATGTAGAAATCCTGAATTTTATGTATATATAAAAGTATGCACATATAACTAAAACACGCAAAATGCATGACTTAAGCATAAAACAAAATTGCGGTATAATTTTAAATACAGAGAGACAATATTAATCATTTTTCTTATTGCCATTGATATTTAATTGACTGACCTATTAGACAAGGCCTTCAAGATGACTATGTACTCCTAAACTATGATTTGTTCTAATGCCAAACAATATTTATCTATTTATAATCATGTAAATGCTGTTTTGCAATTTTCTAGAAAATAATTTAAATATTTGCAGTGACCCTTGGAAAGAGCAAAACACTGATAACAGCGGTCTAAAGTGGGATTAAAGAAGTGGGATTGGTTGAAGTCAGGGATTGGAGATTATGAAATCTGATGAATCTAGAAATACAGTTAGGCATATTAAATAAAATAATAATGGTATAAATAATAATATAAATATTCCATACAGGATTGAGAGAGGCAGGGTGTGATAAGAGTAAGACTATTGCCTTTTTCATATAGTGGGATAAAATATTGTTTAAATATGACCAATCGTGAGATGGAGGAATAATAGAGGTTGGAACAGAAGAACTAAGAACAAACATTTCATAGAATCTGGTTCTGGAATTAGGATTGGGATGGTAGAGAAAGGATACTTATCATGAGGATAAGTTCTTTTATGTTATTTAGGTTTTTATCACATGAAAGCACAATGTAAAAATGAAAAGTTAAGGCAGAAATCTCAGGAGATAGCTGGAAGTGAGGATGCATTTATTTTTTCTATGACTGAATCAAATCCTGGACTCATTTACTGTTATGGCTTGTATCTAGATGTCCCCCCAAAGTCTCAAGTGCTCATAGGTAGGGCTTTTCAGAACTGGCTGGATCTAGGGCATTGATACTGGGATTAAGGGTGTGTGGTACCAACTAGTCCACTGATTGGAATTAGAGTATTTCTGGGTGGCACCACCCAAATAAGACTGGTAAGCTATATGAGATAAAAGAGGATGGAAGGCTTGCTGTTTCTGTTTATACTTTGCTGTCTTTTGCCTGCCATTCCATGAGTTTTTCCTCTGTGATGATCCCCCTTCCATGCTATACTGCCTTGGGCTGAAACTTCTGCAAACTGTGAGCTGAAATAAATCTCTTCTTTAACTTGAAGACATTTTATTTCAGTAATGAGAAAACTAAAACATCCATAAAGTACACACATGCAAGAAAGACTCAAAGCATCACAGCAAAGACTTCAAAAAATTGAACTACAATTTACATCATTGTACACATCCCAGCCTATGAAACTGTACCTTGAATAATTCGGCACAGGGTAAGCTCAAAAAAAAAAATAGTACACCTTTTTAAACTGAACTTGCAATAAATAAATACATCAATAAATAAAACTGAACTGGCATGGAAAACCCTGCTTAATGAAGTCTAAAATTTACCAAGTTTGGTGAAAATAAAAGAATTCTCCTGGAAACTTAAATCTAGAATCTTGAAACATAATATTCAAAATGCCCATTATCTAATAAAAATTATAACATAAGACAAATCAAGAAAATACGACCCAGATGTCACCATTAACATTTCAAAACAGCAATTATAACCATAGTTCACGAAATAAAAGCAAATACTCTTGAAATGAATAGCCAGGCAGTATGCTCCTGGTAGAGAAATAGAGACCATAATATTGGCAGTTCTACTTAATAGCAGAACTGGTACAACAGAGAAAAAAAGACAGTGTACCTGACAAATCAATAGAAAATATTCAATTTGAAGAAAATAGATAAGATTTTTAAAAATTTTTATTTAAAGAAAGACTAAGCAAAACAGAAAATAGGTAGAAATAATACATACGTTCAGGGAAAAAAAATAAACAGTAAGAAATCACTAGTTGATGTTTACATAATGTCATTTTACAGCTCTGCAAGTCGCGGTGGGACCTCAGCAAGCAGCAGCAGGACCTGTGGCAGGACCGCGTCGGGACCTCGGATGGTCAGCAAGTCGCCTTAATTTCTTCTTGGGACAAGAGAATTCATCTCCCTCTGTTTGGGGCTCCCACTCAGTATTATGTTGAATTCTAAGTTGACCATCTCAGAGAGCCTCTGTAGCCAGTTGTTATCTATCTGCCATCTTGCTCCTCTCCCCAGATAAAAAGATTTAAGAAAACAATATCTTTTTCTGTTTTAGTAACCTCTTAAAGGGCCAGCTCAGTTATAACCTTTATAGAAAGACTCATCTCTTGGAAAAGATGGTTATTTCCAGATGGCACCACATGAATAAAAGCTGAGTGAATGTCTTGGCTATACACACTATACAAAGAAACTAGTAGTGTCATTTTGATTTATGACGTTTAACTCTAAATTTCTGTGCTTGATGAATAATCATCAGAAGAAAGGCTCAATTTCTATTAATTTCTTCCCCTAAAGTTCCCAAAATCTTCATTCTATCAACCATAATAGTCCCTATTTCTAATTCCCAAACAATTTGAGAATCTCTGCTATTGTAAATGAATTTCTAAACAATGAACTAACATAGATTTATAGGAACTTTGAGTTGTAGGTAAAAATATCTATTGAAGGAATCTGATAAGCAAATAGTACACGAGTTGAGAAAGAAGTCAAAATTTCAGAGCAACACCCAGCTGGTGGTGCTTGTCATATTTTTCATCCAGGATCTTCATGCATCCCAAAAGATCAGAAGCTAGCATCGGGGTGAAGACAGAAAGTTCAAGTGAAGCCCCCGCCCCACACTTCTAGCTTAAAGAACAGGAAAAGAAACTTCTAACGGAATTAAGAAATGCTCCTCTTTTTTTCCTCATTCCCTAGTCACCAAATCATCCTGTGACAGTGGCAATAATGCTGACAACATGAGCTGAGAATTCTGAAGGAGGGAAATCTTGCTCTGAGTTGCAGTACAGTGTCCCAAGAAAGTGGGGTAGACCCCAGTGTTCGCCCCCCTCCCTTCCCATTTTGGCCTAGATGCAAGCACAGTAAGTTGAAGCATGCAATGGAGCTGGGTTAGAAACAAGCAAACAAAAACCAAGTGTGGGCTAAAAAACTGCAGAGAGGAGCCCTCTGGAACCAGAAACTACTGGGAAGATCACTTACATAGAAAAGGGGAGGTGAAGTATTACTTCAATAACAAAACAAGGATATCACAAGAAAGGAAGCTAGAGCTCCACGTACCTCACGAATCTACAAGGCAATCTTAGCAAATAGACCCAGCATCATGAAGGAGGATTGCAGCTAGTGGCCAGATAGAGTTTACTCTAGCAAGGCAAAGCTGGTTTACTATGCAATATTAATACAAGAAAGGATATCAATAATGGAAGGCACCATTTAATAGAATAAGGAATAAAACTATGATGATTCCAAAGCATGGAGGAGAATTTGTCAAAATTCCTTTTCATGATAAAATATCTCTAAACAAATCAGGAATAGAAGGAAAATTTTTTCAACTTTATGAAACACATCTATAAAACACCTACAGTAAATCTGGTATTTAACGATGAAAGACCATCCAGGTTTTCCCTCACGATCAGAAACAAAGCAAGTTGCTCTCGTCTTTTCGTTAACTGCATAGCAAGAAAAAACAAATCCTCCTCCGAGACTGGAAAGGAATAGGTAAAATCTCTACTTAGAAATATGATCTAAATAAAATCTAAATGTGGAAAACCCCAGGAAATCTACCCCAGAGCTACTTGAATTAAAGGCATCATGTTATAAGATAAACATATAAAATGTATTTTTAAAATATATAAAAGTTGGGTTTTTTCCTGTACTATCAATGAGCAATCTGATCACTAACTTAAGAAAAATTCTATTTATGATAGTGTTAAATCAAATGTAATATATAGAAATAAAGGTATCAATTAAATGAAAGACCTATACACTGAAAACATCATGAGAAATTAAAGACCTAATAAGTACAGTGAAATACTATGTTCATGGATCAGAAGACCTGACATTATTAAGATGGCCACTTTTCCTAGACTGGTCTACAGATTCCATATAATTGAGAAAAATCCCAGCTAGTTTTTTCTGTATCTGTTTTTATTTCTCTTTCTTTTTCCTTCCTGTTTTCCTTTCCTTTTCCCCCCTAAAGTTGAGATCACCCTAAAATTTGCACATAAACAAGCCAAAAACAATTTTGAAAAAAAAACACACTTAGTATGTAATGCAGGCATTTATGTATAAAATATACAGAAGTGACTGATTTAGAGACAGAAATCTAAGCATGAGCCAGAAACTGAAATCTTTTGGGATGAAGATAATATTCTGAAACTCAATTGTGATTGTAGGTGAGTTTTATGGCATGTGAATTATACTTCTACAAATTTGTTTTTTTTAAGGTGAAAATAGGTTCTCCATTTATTTCTGGTT